ATTGTGAAGATAGGAAGTGCCTATGCATATCTTATTTTGTATTTACAATAAGAAAATAGAAATAAAGCTTTCACTACAGACAAACCCACCTCTTTCTGACATTTGCCTTACAGACTTTGGGGTACCCTCTATTCCATTCCTGCTGTACAAAGTGGAAGCAGAAGACTTTGATCTGCTCCTACTAGCAGTGGATTTTTGGCCTATGTAATCAGACTTGATGGTCTTTTTCTTCCTTCCTTTTTGTGATACCTTTGCTTTAAGGGTATTTGAATCTCCATTTACAACAATCTTTGAAGTTGACTTTTCTTTGGAGATGGATGATTTAATTTGGTTCTGATTGAAGTCTTTTTCTTCCTTTTTTTTAATTCTTTTTCTTACAACTGCAGATTCACTTTTGCTTAATTCCGATGGACTGTCCAGCTTTCTGGATTTGTTTGATGACTTTTTAAGTGATTTTGCTGTTGATTTTGTTGAAGATTTTGCTGCCTTCTGCTTAGACTCCCTGCCTTCTGCTACCTGAAGCTTCCTTCTTGTCACAGTCTCTGAACCTCCATTTTCTTCACCTGACTTCTCTGATTCTATGTCTTTCTTCATTTTCTAGCATATAAAAAGTACATGTATTCACTTCAAAATAAAATGTAATTGTTCTGTAGCATTTACTCTTTTACTCTTTATAATTTTCCACCAGTTCAATGAATTTAATGCTGATATCTGTTCACTCCAATTGTTCATTTTATAATTACTTTGCAGGGGCAAATTAATCCAGCAAATTTTGAAAAAAGGAGGGGGGGGGGGGGGAGGGGGGTCCAGGTCAGTGCCACCAATACTCATGCATAGAATCGCACCATATATGGGTTTTTGAAGCCCATAGCAACAGTTTTCAAAGGGGGCAACCTCTGAACAGCTTTCCATGCATATGCAAGAAAATATGATCATGTGACCAACTGCATGTCATTAAAAATTGAAATTCAATTTCACTATCATTGTTACATAAGAAAGACATCAGCAAATGTAAATAAATATTATTGAATTATATCACACACTTGATGAACTTTATCATATTCCTACCTTTGCATTACTCTTGGCCACTTTTGAGCTTCTCTTTAGCTGCCTGACTTTGATTTCTAAAATGTGTACGTCAAATGTTATCATTAACAGAGAAAAACGTTAGAGTATTTATGCTCTTTAAAAAAAATTACAGCCATTTTCAAACAGAAGTTAACCATTTAAATCTCTTTGTTGGTATAAAATAAGTAACATCAACAAATCAAAAATATTAAGAATAGCCAGAAGTACATCTCTTATAAAAGCTTTCAGGACAGTCAAGAACTGTCACTTTGAAGATCATTCCATAAAAACACATCCTCCATATAAAGTTAAATGCACAGTGATAAATACTATGATATGGCCACCCATCTTTAAAAAAAGTTTGGTTGCCCTCTCTCAACCAACTGGCTTAAAATGGACCCATTTCATTTTATTAACATTCCAGGACATGATTTTTTTTTTCTTTCTTTTTATTCCTCTTCTTCAATCAATAAATATGTTGAAACTTTCTGGAATTTTTTCCCCTATCTACCGCCCCAATACTTTTACCTTGAGTCAGGAGAGGGCAAACAAGCATTATTTTAAAGATGGCCTAAGATGTTTTTTTTATAAACATATAGTGTTACCATTTGGAACCAAGGGTCCTGGATTGCCATGAAACCATATAGTTCTTTTGTTGTGGTCCGCCATGTTTTCCATGCCTTCTTTGTAGTAACACTGGAGCCATTCAGAGAACTTGGAATAGTCTGGATCTCTCCCCTCTGGGTCGTACCCTGTCCCTCCTGGAAGATTTAATGTTTTAACAATACCTTATCATTTCAGTTTTACATGATATTTATTGATATTCCTATATTTTCTCCATCTTAATTTACATTTACTTCAGAAGTAATCACTAAATTCAAATTTCATTATAATTGTGTTTAATTAATAGTATCTATATTCAAAGGCATGAGGCTGATTTTAAAAAACAAGAGGCCCAGGGGCAACATCGCTCACCTGAGCACATCGGCTAGGAAAATGCACAAATCAGATCAGAATTGAAAAGTTGACTGAGGTAATGTAGTGGGGTGGGGGGCTTGAATTCTAATACTACTTGAGAATGCCTTCATATCAATTCTGCATTTAACTTATTGAGAGAGTTCTTGAAAAGAAAATTTTTAAAGATTTTTCCTTTATATTCCTATGTAAAACTTTGATCAGCCATTGTGGCCCCACCCTACCCCCGAGGCCTTGATTTGAACAAACTTGAGTGTACACTATCTGAGGATGATTCAACATGAGTTTCATCTTTCCTGTCCCAATGGTTCTTGAGAAGAAGATTTTTAAAGATATTTTCTATATATTCCTATGTAAAACTTTGACCAGCCATTATGGCCCCACCTTATCCCCGGGGGTCATGATTTGAACAAATTTGAATGTACACTATCTGAGGATGATTCAACATGAGTTTCATCTTTCCTGTCCCAATTAATGGTTCTTGAGAAGATTTTTAAAGATATTTCCTATATATTCTTATGTAAAACTTTGATTGGCCATTGTGGCTCCACCCTACCCCCGGGGGCCATGAATTGAACAAACTTGAATGTACACTATCTGAGGATGATTCAACATGAGTTTCATCTTTCCTGTCCCAGTGTTTCTTCAGAAGAGGATTTTAAAGATTTTTTCCTATATATTCCTATGTAAAACTTTGATCGGCCATTTTGGCCCCATCCTTGACCTGGGGGTCATGATTTGAACAAACTTATATCTACACTACCTGAGGATTCTTCAACATGAGTTTCATCTTTCCTGACCCAGAGGTTCTTGATAAGAAGATTTTTTAAAAATGCCATTAATCTTCACTAATTCATAATTATATATCTCCCCTTGGAAGAGGGTGTGGCCCTTCACATTATATTACAATAAAATATGTTCAAATCAAACAAACTTGAATCTCCTTTACCCAAGGATACTTTGTACCAAGTTTAGTTGAAATTGGTCCAGTGGTTCTTGAGAAGAAGATGAAAATGTGAAAAGTTTGCAATGCCAACGACGACAACGATGACAGACAGCAGACAAATTTTGATCAGAAAAGCTCCCTTGAGCCTTCGGCTCAGGTAAGCTAAAAAACAATAAAAAGAATAGTCTCCTTTCCACATATCAATGCAGGGTAATATGTACAGCTTTGTACCAAGTTTGCCATCGTGCAAGTTTGCTAAACGTCCATATAACCATTCAGAGAGAGAGACATAGTTGCAGTGACATATTACAGCTGAGGATACATCTTTGTTTTGTTTTCCCTATACATAAGCTGTATCTATGATGGATTGTAAGATGACAATTTTCTGACTACCTAGATTGATCACTTCCTGAGGCAGGATGTGGCAGAGCTGTAGAATGTCAGGGGTCTCTGTCTTCAGTAAATTCTCAGATCCTTCCCCACTCAGAGGTTCCAGTACTGATCTAGCTGACACAAAAGGTGGTATCCCTGCCCTTAAATAATTCATCATAAACAGTAGTTAATATTAAATATACACTGCACAAACACAGACATGCAGGCCAACATCAGCTGGTCATTTCAATCATCATAAACACAAACACAGACAGGGACATTACCTAGTAACTTCAATCACCATGCACACAAACATGTATTAAATCATGTTCTTTTACCTGTATAGTATTTCAGCTCTCAAGTAATTTCCTATTCCATTGAAGTATGTCTGGTTCAATAGAAATTCACATATTGGTTTGTTGAAAACTGAATTCTTCATATTGTCCAGAACATTCTTCCTACAAAATAATTCTTTTTATTTATGTACATGTATATCAGTGTATAAACATGTACAAATATTAGTCTACATTTACAAATGTACAAATGCTCTGATTTTCAAAGCTCATGAAATACCATATATATCAGAAATCTGCAATAATTTTCAGATCATTTCTGTATCTTCAATTGTATGTTGAATGTACATCACTACATGTATAATTATTATACCCCCCACTTGAAAAGCAATAGTAAGTAAAAGAAATAGTAACTGTGATGTCCGTCCATCTACCTGTACGTCTGTCTGTCTGTCCATCTGTTAACATTTTAGGGTATCCATCCCTTACCAGCAACTCCTCTTATACCACTGAATGAAATTTGATGAGACTTTCAGAGAATCTTTATTACATAATGCCTTTGTGCACCTCCTAGCTAATTTACTTTTTGATCCGACACTTTTTTTGGGTTTCCCGGGCCATATAGCAAAACATGGACACGCAGACTTTATATTCATATGGGAGGCAAGGGGGGGGGGGGATATCATTTAGTGAGCTCATTGCTGACAGTACCTCTAGTTATATTATTTTTTATTTTATATATAGAGGGGGTATAATTTTTCGATATTTAGCTTATTTGGCAACTTATTGATAAAAATTCAAGTACGTCTTGTGATTTACCTAAAGGCCTGGTACTCAAACAGAACACATGGACCTCTCTCTTTTGACCATTCACCGCCCACCTGCCATTTCCCAAATCTTCTGTAGTCAACAAAGCTTAACACCATCTTCGGTTCTTCTTTAGTGAAGAAATTCAAATGTGCGTGCTTCTTCAGTTCAGTTGCTTCATAAAAATCAAACTTCCCTGACATGCCAAACTGGAATACGATGTCCAGAGATCTGCTTTTATTGAGTGATTTATTGTCCTTGCACATGGTGTTTAATGTAAGTTTCATTTCCTTACCCCTGGAGGTAGCGGAGATCGTGTACTCGTCCTCAAACTCCACATCGGCATGTTTACTCACCTCCGATTTAATTATCGGGCCTTTAAAAACTCTTCCTTTACAGACAAGATTAACAAACTTGCTGGCAAGATGCAGCTCTGGACCTTCTGGCATGATTTTGGCTTCTGACACGAGTTCACCACCATGTGCTAAAGCTGTGTGTTACACAACTGTTTACCTCAAAGAACTATGGGAATTTTTGCTCATGCAACCGGAAATGAAATATCGCGGGAAATTCAGTCACTGAGAAAACAGCAGACATGCCTCGCACAAGAAAACGAAGAGCCAAAGCCACAGCAAATATTTCACCACCTGAAACTGCGGAGAATTGTTTGCTAAAAGATTACGACGACAATGTTACAAAAACTTTGGCTACAGCTGAACACTTCGTTGTAAATAATCCTCCCTCACTGATGGGGATGCTGTACGGAGACTTGCCGCCATCAGTTGTTTGGAAAGTTTTGGTGAGATTTAGCTCCAGACATAATTCATAAGAGGGAGCGTGTTAGCTTTTATATAATTAAAATAAAATCATATGCTAAAAAAATTAAAGTTAAAAAAAACGCATATTGCAAGGGGACGGAACATCCTGAGAAGGGGGGGGGGGGGCTGGCAGATTTTTGAAAATAAATAATCTGTCCTCGACCGACAAGAAAATAAATTATTTGTCCCTGCACAGTTCTATGCCCCCCTCCCTCCAAAAAAAACAAAAACAAAAAACAATATATTCAAAGTTTTGGACTTTGATATTTCCTTTTTCCAGTGACAAAAAATATTATTAAATATATCATTGATTATTGGAAATAAATAAAATGAATAAATCTGTCCTTCACGGACATGGAAATAAATTATCTGACTAAAAAAAAATTGCTAGCCTGCCCCCACCCACCCCCCCCCCCCAAATCTAATGGTCTCCCCCCAACGAAATACTAGTAACTACTCATCCATATGCACCTGATATGTATGGATACCCCCTCCACACATCAAACCTGAGAAGACTCGCTCGGGCCCTTGCATTTTCCAAAAAAAAAAAAGTCATTGAGTCTTACTTTGGGAATTTAATTCATGGTTGTATCTGAAAATCATCAAACTTGGTCAGTTGTATCTTAGTTCTCAGAGTATGTTAAATTAAAATAGGTCATGGAGACCTTTTGGAATTTCAAGATTTCACTTAATATTTTGGATACTAATAGTGAGAAGGTTATACAATTTATCAGAAGAGTAATTCTAAGCCATGTGTGTGTTTATTTAATCTTGAACACTAAATGCTTATTAAGATTTTTTTTCAGTATCTTGTCAATCGTCAGATCAGTTCTGAGGAAGAATGCACCCTTCTGTGCTTGCTGACAGATTACTTGGCTGGAGAATGTGTTGACCTTGGACTCCTAAACCCTGGCCACAAGTACAACACACAGACACATGTCTTACTAGAAGAGGTAGCCAATGCCTGGAATAATCTTCTACAACAACCTCGTGTATTCAAAGGTTTGTAAGTTAAAACAAATATCTTGTATATCAGATCTCAAATTTTGTTAATTATACCCCCCGCAAATGAAGTTTGGGGGGGGGGGGTATATAGGAATCACCTTGTCTGTCTGTCTTTGCAATCGTGTCCAGTCCATATCTTTCTTACAGAGGGACATTAGAATCTACTACTCCACACAAAGATTGCCCATGACCTAAGGGTGTGTCATGACCTTGACCCGAGGTCATTTGGGGAAGTTCAAGGTCACTGGAAGAAAAATTTCATAATTCGTGTCTGGTCCATATCTTTCTTATGAATAAACTTAGTAGGTTCTCATTTCATACAAAGATTGCCCATGACCCAAGGGTGTGTCATGACCTTGACCCAAGGTCATTTGGGGAAGTCCAAGGTCATTGGAAGAAAAATTTCATAATTCATGTCCGGTCCATATCTTTCTTATTATACCCCCGCAAACGAAGTTTAGGGGGGTATATTGGAATCACCATGTCCGTCTGTCCGTCTGTCTGTAGACAAGATTTTGTCCGGACCGTTTCTCAGAAAGTGTTGGATGGATTTGTCTGAAAATTTATACACTTATTATTCACCATATGAAGGTGTGCACCTGGGATTTTCATCATGATTGGATGATTTTTCTGCATTTTACAGGTGTTTTTTCTTTTTTATTTTGTGATTTTGTTTGGGTCATAACTAGAAAACTATTAGACTTACAATCATCAAACTTGGACAATTTATGCATCTTGGGTAGACGGTGTGTCACGACCTATTTCAAGGTCACTGTGACCTTTAATTTAAGTGATTTTTTAAAAAAAACTAAGTCTTTAAAATTTTAAATTTCCTAATCCTTAAAAATGTAAAAAATATATTTGTATCCTTATTAAAAAATGCTAAATTAAGTAAAAACTTATTTTTTATCGTATACTTTATAGCAAATTCTATAACAAATGTTAATGATTTGAGAGGAATTCAGTTTGTCCCATGGGCATAATTATCAAGCACTGGTCAAGGAGAATTTTTGATAGCAGAAATGTGCATGTCAAATTAGAGAGAAATTAATGAGTTCATTGTCGGGAGTTAACTGGCAAGAGCATATCTAGATCTAATCTTAATTTACCTCTTGGGAGTTGGGTAAAAAGAAATGGCCTTATAGTTGCTTGTGTTAATTAAGAGTTCTTGATGGCTGTAGTTCAGATAAAGATCTTTCAATTGGTGTAATGTAATTAAAACAAATTGATGTTTTAGTGTATGATTAAAACTGAATTAGTATTGTATAATATAATTAAAATTAATTAAACATGTGTTCATTGGAAAAAAAATTACATTTCAATTTTCATATATTTGCAACAAATTGCAGTCATGTCTCACTTGAATTTTATAGTCTAAAGAATAATTAATTTTTGATTTTTTTTTATTAGACTGTAGCATTTCCATTATTTCATAATATTGCAATAAACAATTGAAAGCTGCAGATGGATATTTGTTAAGCTCTAACACAGCCAGTTTAGAATTATATGATGTATTATTTGTTTTAATTAATCCCTACACTTTAAGTGTCTTAGAGATGTATGTACAATATTTTAAACATGATAAGGAATGGAAATTAGATCATTGAAATCTGTGTCAATCTGTTAATTAAGGTTACTTAATTTTCTTGCACCCTAACCAATTAATGATTATCAACAATATTTGATGGGCTTATCATGCTGTGGCAAGGCACTTTATTAGACAATAGTGAATACCTCTTACTAGATCCATAAAATATTTCTGAATTGGCACCTACTCTGAAAAACCCAGCGGGGGTATTTGTCCCTATTGGACAGTTCTAGTGGATAAACTTGGTAGGTTGTCATTTCACACAAAGATTGCCCATGACCTAAGGTAGTGTCATGAGCTTGACCCAAGGTCATTTGGGGAAGTTCAAGGTCACTGGAAGAAAAATTTCATAATTCATGTCCGGTCCATATCTTTCTTATGGATAAACTTGGTAGGTTCTCATTTCACACAAAGATAGCCCATGACTCAAGGGTTTGTAATGACCTTGACCCAAGGTCATTTGGGGAAGTTCAAGGTCACTGGAAGAAAAATTTCATAATTCGTGTCTGATCCATATCTTTCTTATGGATAAACTTGGTAGGTTGTCATTTCAGGCTTAAAAAAAAATAAGTTTGTTTCCTGTAACATTCCCAAAAAATCAAGGGTCGGTAGGTCGGAAATTTTTTTTTTTTTTTTTTTTTTTTTTTTTTTTTTTTTTTTGCTTATGAATGGTCAAACATCCCCGGACTGAAAATATCAGGTGTTACAGAGCTGCCAACCCTTACGATTTTGGCGTAAGTCTTACGAAATTAGCATCCAAAATACGCCTTACGATTTCTCTCTATATTCTTCCGATTTCAGTTTTTCTCCATCAAAGTTTATAATACCGGGATTTTCATAACTGGTCGTCTGCAGTTTCTACTATTATAATTAAATATTTATAATCCTTACATTGGTTGCTTGTATCGTCGTTTCGATTTTAGATGGCCGATCGCATTCATGTCAATGTTTTTAAGTAAACAAAATGGAAACGTGCCTCAAATTCCTCCGATTGCATGTCCATTTACAAAACATCTTCAGCGGCATGGGGCTGGGGCGGTCCCCGGACCATGCCTTACTATTTTTCATTTCAGAATGTTGGCAGCTCTGGTGTTATATTTACCCAACATGGCATCCAAAATGGCTGCCTACCTCAGAAAACAAACTTCAGGAAGTTGTAGGGGGAAACTATTGTTACAATAATGATTACTCTTTATATTTAAGGTAAATGTACACTAAGTTGACATATTTTATGTCTCAACTTAAGCTACAAGCTATTTTTTTAATTTGATAAATGGAATCAGCTGATTGATTAAACGAAGTTTTGCCATTTGTCAGGAAAAAAAATCCACCCGGGGATTATTTGAATGGGTCGGTCGGGTTACAGGAAACAAACATAATTTTTTTTAGGCCTCACACAAAGATTGTCCATGACTGAAGGGTGTGTCATGACCTTGACCCAAGGTCATTTTGGGAAGTTCAAGGTCATTGGAAGTAAAATTCATAATGTGTTTCCGGTCCATATCTTTCTTATGGATAAACTTGGTAGGTTCTCATTTCACACAAAGATTGCCCATGACCCAAGGGTGTGTCATGACCTTGACCCAAGGTCATTTGGGGAAGTTCAAGGTCACTGGAAGAAAAATTTCATAATTTGTGTCCAGTCCATGTCTTTCCTATGGATAAACTTGGTAGGTTGTCATTTCACACAAAGATTGTCCATGATGGAAGGGTGTGTCATGACCTTGACCCAAGTCATTTTGGGAAGTTCAAGGTCACTGGAAGAAAAATTTCATAATTTGTGTCTGGTCCATATCTCTTATGGAAAAACTTACTTCTGAAAAACTCAGCGGGGGTTATTTTGTCCCGTTTGGACAGTTCTAGTTTTCATTGCAGTCTTCTTAAAGGTACTTGGACACAGATTTGAAGTCAATATTTTCTTTATAATATAACGATTTATATATTTTAATAGCATTTCACACAAAAATTAATTAAAAATCTTATTTCATTTAAAAGTTATTAAAACTTCAAATTTTTTGGTGGGTTTGATTGACACATCCTTGCACTTTCACAAATTTTAACCTTATTCTTAATCCTTAGGAAAAGTGGCAATCTTGTTGTGTATTAATGAGAAATATTAAAACTTTTATCCAGAAAAATGATTTTATTCAGAGTAAAATTGTTAGAAAGCAAAACTCCTTCACAAGTATCGTCACTCCGAACTAAGAGTTGCGTACAGAGTTTAGCAAATCGAGCACACTCGTATTATGCACACAGTTTTTGTAAACAGGGCACGAGTTCTGTTATTGTTGATGTTAATAATTCTACGGGCGCGTTCAAACGTCACAGTCTGCTTACCACAACTGCACGGACTGACAATAGATTGCGTGTTTGTTTTGCTTTCGAACATGTCTACTCTGAATTTTCTGGATTATAGTATTAATATTTTTCATTTATACACAACAAGATTGCCACTTGTCCCTAAGGATTAAGAATAGAATTAATTTATGAAAGTGCAAGGATGTGTCAATCCAACCTGCCAAAAAATTTGAAATTTTAATATCTTTTATAAGAAATAAGATTTTTAATTAATTTTTGTGTGAAATGCTATTAAAGTATATAAGTTGTAATACTGTAGAGAAAATAATAACTTCAAATCTGTGTCCAAGTACCTTTAAAAACTTTTCGGAGACACGTTGACCAGCGGGGCTAGTGAATTTGACATATTTACTAGCCAGAATTTTTTTTTTACTAGCCCTCTGATTGATAATGATATGTTTTATTCAAGTTAATTCAACCAAAACAAAAAAATCTCAAACCACTAAAATAAACCCCATGAAATCAGTGAATTTTAGAGATGTCAACTTGGTAGATATTTGATAATCGGTTTCTCAGACTTCAGTGTTTTCCCTAAGAACAGGCTACCGGCCAAATTGACCGCTTCAATTGGAAAAAATGCTGCTTTGAAATAAGAATTTATTTTTAGGTCTACAGAGAATTTGTTCAGGGGTGCGCAGTTAGAATAATCAAATATGAAACTCGTTGCGAGCAACGAAAGGTCTTCCGTCCGATTCCGGAAAGAAAACGTAAATCAAGCTGATCAAGTAAAACAAAACTGCACACAAGGGGGATTGAGTCACCGGCATGAAAATCCAGCATGAAAATCCAACGCGCTAAATATTATGCTTTACGAACCTCTGCTCTAAAACTTCTTGTAAACTTATATACCTCTGTACAACAGTGCTATTGACTTAGAATTATGAAAGGCGAGTCACTATTCATAATTTCGCACCAATCGCCACGAATTAATCTTAGCGCATTTTCTTTGGAATGTCCTATTTAATAGGTGTGACAGCTTCAATGAAATACAAAAATGTTCTTACAGCCTAAAGTTCGAGGATTAGAAAGTATATTTAACAAACATTTAATTTTAAAAAT